AGTGGATGCTAAATCCAAAATGTTAGGTGATACGATAAAACTAACAGGACTTAAGAAACAAAGAACTCCTGCTCATCTGGTTGAACCACTACTAAATATCCCCATGCTGCTGATCACAAATATGGTGTATAACATGTGAACACTGTTATATATTACAGACTGTGGTAGACAATTTGCTCCAGGGAAGTTAGAATGAACTTGTGACTTTGAAATTATGTAATCACTTAATCACAATCAAAAAAAAAAAAAGAACCTCGGGGAAGGGAGGGAGGGAGGGGATGGTGGGGGGAAAACAATGGAGGGGGTAACAATGTTCAAGAGGAAGTGTACTCATTACCTCACTCATGTAACTGTAACCCTCTGTATAGTATCTTTACAATAAAAAAAAAAAAAAAAGTGAATGAGTCCAAGCCCTAGGACTGGCTTGAGTAAAATAAAACTTTAAAAAATCTCCAAAGCCAAACATCAAGCATTAATGAAAACAAAAAAGTGCTAGAGCATGGAATTCTATGCCTCCATCAGAAAGTATGGCTCAAAAAAAATGGCTCAAGTAGTATTTACCAAATGAGTGCAAGTCCCTGAGTTCAAAGCCCAGGACTGCCAAAAAACATTTATTAATAATAAAAATATTGTATCAAATGGTTTTTGAGATATTTTAATTATACCCAATATTTGTGCAATTTAATCATATAAAATGTTTCCTTACTGATACAGTTATCTTTTTATTTATTTATTTAATTTTTTGGGTTGGTCCTGAGGTGTAAAGTCAGAGTCTGGGAGCAGCTGCCCCTGAGCTTTTTTCTGCTCAAGGTTAGCATGCTACCACTTGAGCCACAGCTCATTCTGCTGTAATTGGAGATTTTATTTAGATAATCGGATACAAACTTTCTTCAGATCTCAGATCTCAGCTTCCTGAGTAGGTGGAGTGCAGCTGTGAGCCATCGGTGCCCAGCTTAGTTTTCTCTTTTAGTAAATAAGGAAATATATTGAGAACTTTAACAACACATTCATTTTTTTTCATTTTTTAATGTTTTTTATTGTAAAAAAAATAGTGTGCAAAGGGGTTAAGTTACATGAGTAAGGTAATGAGTGCATTTCCTATCGAGCATTGTTACCTCCTCCTTTATTTTTCCCCTACTGTCCCTTTCTTCCCCACCTTCCCAATCCCTCCCTTCCCCCCCCCCACCCCTCTGCAAAGTTGTAAAGTTCATTTTCGACATACTGTCTTGTATGTATCATTGTTACAATGGGTCATTTTGTATCCTTATTTCAGCATTTTGTTTTTCCCTTCTCCTCCCCAAATTAGAAAAATGTATGTATATGATGCAGGGCACCAACATCAAATACAGTGAAAACAGGTGTTGTACCATGGAGGAAGATCACATAGGACATTATAAGTACATTAAAAACAATAGCAAGAAATAAAACAATTGTGTCCCTAAATTGGGGCTCATTTCACTTAACATCATCTTATATGGTCATATGTATATAGCTTTTGACCTTTTCTGCTTGTCCTCAACTTATACTAGTTATTGCAAATAAGGGACACCATGGGACCTATGTTTCTTTGGGCCTGGCTTACTTCACTAAATATAATTTTTCCAAGTCTTTCCATTTCCTAACAAATAGGGCAATGTCATACTTTCTGATGGAGGCATAGAATTCCATTGTGTATATATACCACATTTTCTTGATGCATTTATCTACTGAGAGGCATCTGGGTTGGTTCCACATCTTAGCTATGGTAAATAATCCTGCTATAAACATAGTTGTGCTGGTAGCTTTAGTGTAGCCTTGTTTGTGATCATTTGGGTAAATGCCCAAAAGTGGGATTGCTGGGTCATAGAACACGTTCATTTTTAACAAAATGATTTATTTTTGATTTTCATAAATGATTTGTATTTACTTATCCCAAAATACAATGTCAGTTATAATACACACACATACATATATGTCCAAAAGGATTACTACAAGAATGTTAATGTTCAAGCTCCAAAACTACCCTCCACATTCTGCATTTATAATTGCTCAGGTTGGACTACATTTTACATTTGCCAGCCAAGCTACCTGTTAGAGTCTATCAATAGGAGGAATTAGAAGCAGACTGAAAATTCAAAAGAAGGAAAAATTATGTCCTTTAGCCATTTATTCTTTATGTTTCATATCACTCAAACCGTATTTTGTCCTACCTAACAATCAGTTTATTTCAGCAGCAGTTGCTTTAGTTTGCAGCTTTAATGTATCTATTATTTCCAACCAATATCTTCAAGTCCCTCAGATTTACCAAGAGAACATGCTGGGAACTTCTGCCCAGAGGTCTGGGTCCAATTAAATCAGTAGCCTCCTTGAAACTTCGGACAACCAGAATCTTCTTCCCAGGAGTGTCTCTTAATCTCAATTATGGCCTAAATTCGAAGGTTATTCTGAAAGAAAGGTTATTCTGAAAGCAATTATTCATGGATCTAGGTTCTTAGACCTTCCATTTTTAATAGTTGAAATTAGGAATAACTGAATATAAACATAATCTCATTGCATCAACATTATCTTAAGGATACATGAAGACATCCGAAGGAAGAAAATAAAAGTCCTATCACTGTCATTAATAAAATTATTTCCAAATATTTTTAATAATTTATGAAATTTATAGATCTTTTCATTGCTTATTATTTATATATCTTGGTAACATAATATTGCAATATCTGGAGTTTACTGTTACAGGAAACAAAACTAGCAATTCCAATTTATATACATATTATGAGTTATCATAATGACATATTTAAGCAAAAATAAACAAATAAAGATGTAAGAAAATGGGCCAACTTCAAAAAATAAAGCAACAATATTAAATTCTGAAAGTTCGAACTAACATGTTGGTGTGTGTCTAGCCTTTGCTCATGGATGCTTAAATGAATAATTGTAAGGTAGGTAGAAATTTCTGAATATAAAATTCCATTGGGTATATTTAAAAATACTTATATGAATGTTTAACTTCTAAATTTCAGTAGTCACAATATAAGGAAAGTCACATCCCTGTTGTTCTGTTTAAATTTTTTTCAATTATAATTTCTAGATATAAAGCTTTTGAAGGATTATATAGCAGGTTAATATTTCTTCTAGAAATTTTATCCCTGAATGTGTACTTTGTAAGTGAAGTTCTGCATTTATTCCTGAACCTGTGTGTATTTTATAAGTGAAGTCTGATTCTCCATATCCAGGACAATAACATCATTTGCAACACCACTCACACAGAATTCTGATGACCGACAACAGGTGAGAATTTAAGAAGACTCACAGAAGAGAAGGAAGCAAAAGGAAACAGAAAGAAGAAAGAAAGTACTAGACCAGGATGGAGAATCAGACAACTGCACTAGACATTTAATATACATTTTTTTTGAAAAGTTACTGGAAATGTTTCCTTACTCATTTCTTCCTCATTGATGAACTACAAATTTTCTTTGTCTTTCACAACAGATATACCACAAGTCAAGTCCCTCAGGGAAAGACACTTAAGTTTCCACACCTGAGCTTGACAGACACTCAATAAATAACTGCATTTCCCAAGCCCCTTGACCAAAGGGGAGGAATAGAGAGAGCTGAGCTAAAGACATTCGGTGAGCTCAGAAAACTGAGAAAGGAGCAGATGACTCTAATAGTTTACACACTGAGTCCTTCTGCTGGCTCAACATGTTTTGATTCTCTCTACAAGGATACACAGCACTCATTCGCTTCCCTAAACTAAGCTCTGCATTTAGGCACAGAGCTGCTACCATTGTACCAGCATGCTCCTCTCCCATACAGCTCTGTGCCATACAATAGCGCTTTCCCTGGAGCAGCTTTGCATCTAGATTATACAGCTTAACTTGGGGGCGGCCCCTAACTCAGCAAACACCACAGAAGATGCATGTCTTTCACACAGGTAAGTTCTTAAAATCATGTTCTCTATCATTTGAGTTCAACTAACTCAGAGTTCAGTTATGTATTGAAGTTGAGGGCCAACAGTGAGACCTCAAAAACTCAATCATTATAATAACTAAGAGATGCTGAGAGAAGTTTGGGAGGGGTGCCACCATTGGGAAATAGTGGTATTCAATACACTTTTCCCACTGTTCCCAAAAATGAAGAAGAAGAACTTGAAACCTACTCTTACAGCAATTATTCTGTTCTTTCTAGCTCTGGAGATGCTGACAGCGTAGCTGGTATCTTATGACACTGGTGTTATCTGACAAATCTTGAAGCAAATAAGACGGGGCTCTCTATCTCTGTTTATCTCTCTCGAGTTCAGATAATGAATAATATTGTATGTAGCTTTAGAAATAGATACTAAATAAAATGGATGGTTTGGAAGAGATAAAATTTCAAATCTTGGCCCTATTGATAGACAGTGGGGTGAGATGAAATACTAAACTCTGAATCTGAGCCTATGAGACCCAGTTTTAGGTTTTCCAGTAACATGCTTGGGGACTTATAACTGCATCAAGACACTGAATCCAGCCACAGGGATTTTTCTAAAGAAATGAAAAAATAAAATAAAGATCTCTATGGAAAAGGACAGAAAGAATACCTGCCCTAAAATAGAAAGAGTAAACAAATAATAAAGCAGGGAGAAACAAACAAAAGAGATTCCAAAACACATGGGAAAAGTCGTTTAGTGGAAGAAGGAGGGAGAAGGTAGTCTGAAGGCCAGTTGGTGGTGTGTGAGGTACAGATGACAAAAAGGATCAGACAAGGAAATACTTAGCTTGATCAGATGAGCAAATACTCAGCTGGATGTGTTAGGTGTGGAACTCTAAACATTATTGTTGAATAATAAAAAAATTTATATCTTGATTATATACTGATTATATACAATAAAACTCTTTTCAGGTGCTTGAACAAGTGAAAAATATTTGTCTCCATCTACAAAGATTATTTCCTAGAAAGTCAGTCATTCTATGTACATCAATTAGACGACTAATGTCACAGGGTAAGCACGCCATCACCTGCTAGACAGAGACCTTCATCTGTGAAGACAGATGTCAGGCTCTAACGTCAGTGAGTATGGTCTCCCAGCCACAGTCTTCCTGACAGGGATCCCAGGCCTGGAGTTTGCCCACTTCTGGATTGCCTTCCCATTCTGTGTCATGTATCTTGTAGCCCTCATGGGCAATGCTGCCCTCATTCTGGTCATTGGGACTGACAGCACTCTTCATGCTCCTATGTATCTCTTCCTTTGCCTGCTCTCACTCACTGACTTGGCTCTCAGCTCTACCACTGTGCCCAAAATGTTAGCCATTCTGTGGTTCCATGCTAGCGAGATTTCCTTTGGCGGATGTCTGGCCCAGATGTTCTGTGTGCACGCAATCTATGCTCTAGAGTCCTCGGTTCTTCTCGCCATGGCCTTCGATCGGTATGTGGCTATCTGCAACCCACTGAGATACACAACCATCCTCAACCATACTGTCATCGGCCAAATTGTCTCTGTGGGGCTATTCCGTAGTATAGCTATTGTCTCCCCCTTCATCTTTTTACTGAGGCGGCTGCCCTACTGTGGCCACCGTGTCATGGCTCACACATACTGTGAGCATATGGGCATTGCCCGGCTGGCCTGTGCCAACATCACTGTCAATATTATCTATGGGCTGACTGTGGCTCTGCTGGTTGTGGGTATGGACTCCATCCTCATTGCCATTTCCTATAGATTTATCCTCCGTGCTGTCTTCCGCCTGCCATCTCAAGATGCCAGGCTCAAAGCTCTAAGTACTTGTGGCTCTCACCTGGGTGTCATCCTTGTCTTCTATTTCCCCGCCTTCTTCTCCTTCCTCACCCACCGCTTTGGCCACAACCGAGTTCCCAAGCACGTGCACATCTTCCTGGCTAACCTCTATGTGCTGGTACCTCCTGTACTCAACCCTGTCATCTATGGGGCCAGGACCAAAGAGATTCGGAGTCGACTTCTGAGACTACTTCACTTTGGGAAGGCTTCAGTGTAAACTCAAGTTGAAGATAAGAAAAATAAAGGGTACAATGGGAGCCAGCTAGATTCATTTACCTGCACGGAAACCTATGATCTGAAAAGGCAGGGTTAACTGGTCTAAAGCTCTGGGAGGAAGAGCATTGGCCAGAGTGAATGGAGAAAGGAATGATCTTGTATAACATTATTTTTCTGAGGCATGATTTACTAAGGAGCCAATCAGGTGCTGATCAAGAGAAGACTGAATGTCATTATGGAAATGCTTTGCTGAGGGTCCAATGGGAAGAAAAAAAGTGTTGGGAGTGAATTTGAATCTGAATTACACAAACTCAGGTAGCAGTTAAGAACCCAAAACATGGAGTCAGAGTGCCTAGATTTGAGTCTTACTTTGTTCACCACTACTTTTTTAACCTTGAGCATATCACTGTTTTTATACCTCATTTTTACCAAATTGTTCAATGGGGATCATCATAATGTCTATCTCTTTTTTAAATTGTATTTTTGTTATCTTTAAGTAGCTGTATAAAGGGGTACTTAACTCTTCATGTTGTGGTACGGAACACGTAAGTTAGTAAGTGCAGAAAACCTAAGACAGAGCCTTACATATCAATTATTTAATAAACAAAATGAGAATGCAAGGTGACCTCTCTAAGCCTTATTATGCAAGTTACCTAACTTTCTTAAAACTTTTAGAATATTATCTTGTATCACAAGGTTATTGTGCTAACTACCTTACTTAATAAAACTGTGTAATGAGTGTTTAGTAAAAATGTATTTCCTCCCATTCTTCTACTCACGCATTTAGAGTTCCTTTCCTTTTAACCAAAAAGTTATTCTTTAATGGTGGACAAATAGAGTCATAATACTCAATGTACATGTGCAAAAAAGGATGTGGAGAGCTTGATGTGACTGGTGGAGAAGGGCAGGTGGGAAGGGAAAGGAGAGTGATGGAAGGGGTAAGTCCAAGCAAAAGTCATTTTATTTCTTTTCATTTTGTTAAGAGCCCATAATTCAGAGACACTGAGAGTCTAAAATGATAAAAGTCTACAAAAGAAGAGGGAAGGGAAATAGAAAAATACTGAATGAAATAAGGACACAGGTTGACCCATTCTAACAATGAGATGTAGGAGACAGCATGTTGAAAAACAAACTTTGCAGGGGGAGGGAGGAGTTGGGGAGGTGGGGAGAGAAGGGATGATAGGGGAAAAACAAAGGAGGAGGTAACAATGCTCAATAGGAAATGTACTCATTACCTTACTCATGTAACTGTAGCCCTTCTGTGCAGTATCCTTACAATAAAAATATATATTAAAAAGCTCCCCTCTGGGTATTTATATATTTTTTTTTAATTTTATTTTATTTGAGAACATACTGTGTACAGAGGGGTCCTCTGGGTATTTATAAAAGAAGAGAAAATAAAGTAAAAAAAAAAGAAGAAAAGATACTACTAGTCTAAGGTTATTCCCTTGAATAGACAACATTTGGCATAAATACCCTGCCTTTTAAAGTGGAAATGACAGAAGATCTGGATCCAAATGTCCTTGGGCTTCAGTATCATCTTTCTTATCTACTAGCTTCATGAATTAGGGCATTCCACTTAACCATCCCCAGCCTTGGCAAAGTGCTTATTGTAAGTATTTGAAACAAAGTCAATTCTCAGTACAGTGATAGTTGACAACATTTAGGTAATGAACATTGAATTCATAAAGTATATGATATGTCTTATGTCTTATTGTGTCTAACTTAATGTATACTATTTGTTGACTTTCTGATTGGCTCATTTGTATTCTAAAACTGTCACAGCAGGTATTTGATTGGTGGCTTACACATAATTAGTAAACACATAGTAAATATTATGAAAAAGTGCTATGGATCAAATCGGTATGTATCATATTGTTTATTGGTTTAATAAATGGTGTCTTTATTATGCTACTTTGATGAGTAATGAAAATGTATGTCCAGAATAGTGGCTAGTACTTAGTAACTTGGTTATTTCTTACTCTGAGACAATTCATCTAGATGCACATCCATAAACTCAGGATAGTTTTACCCGGGTTTAAAAAAAATAAAAACAGGAAGGGGAAAAACAAAAGGGGAGGCAACAATGCTTGATAAGAAATGTACTCATTACCTTGCTCATGTGATTGTAACCCCTCTGTACAGTATTTTCATAATAAAAAACTTATTAATAAAGCAGGAAAGTAACTAGAAGAAAAATGATCACAAATTCCACAAGGGACACAAAAAGTATCAACTTTGGCTGTGCCAGCTCCAAGTCATGCTGGAGGGGCAAATTCATGATACGAAGTCCTCAGGAACCAGGAGTCTTCATACAGAAAATCTCAGAGCAGAAAGACCATAAGAGGAAACAGTAACTGGTTTGAACAAGACCTAGTCAAACTACATTATATCCATGTATAGAAATATCACAATTATACGAGTAAAACGTGCCCTTAAAAAAGAAAATATCTTACGTGTGCATTCAAAAGAAATGTTCTAAGGAAGTTGTCCTTAAGGATAGACAAAGTCATTAGTCCTAGAATGTATGAAAAGGATTTATGATTACTCTCTCTCTTCCTCCCACTCTGCAAATGTATTGTTCTATTTTTCTCTGGCATGTGAATGACAATTCTTATTACCTTATAAACATTAGATGATTTCCTCATTATGGCTTAGATTATTCTCTTTCAAGCACAGAAAGAGCTGAAAACATAACCCATCCCTCCCCTGTATTATGGTAAGGCAAAACACACTCTCTGCTTGCTAATTCCATGAAAAGGGATCCACTGTGGCTGGGAAAACAGCATAAATCGAAGAGCTAGTCCCTACATTCAGTATGAGACCCACAATCCTGCCTGCCATCTGTCATAGCTTATTCCATCCTCCTGTCTCATTGAGGGATCAGACTGCATCGCTGTTCCTATTTTAATTTTAGGTTTCGATTTTAGTTTTATATCCTGCAGAAAAAGTCACTTTATCATTATATTTAGTGATTTTCCTTTAGTTTTTGCATTTCTGTGTGATGAGAGATGTGTGTCTTCTGTGATTAAAATCATGTAGTGCCTCATTGTTGTGTTATACATCATCACAATGTATATTTCAACAGTAGTCATTATTACATTCTCTTAATTAATCCACATTATAAAAATCACGTGACTGAAGAAGGGTCCAATAGATGTTTTAGGTAGCAGAATGATAGCTGGTTTACTAATAGAGAGCTGGAATTGGTTTGTGGGGGTTATTCAGAAATGTTAAAACAAATCTTTAGCAGGTGCTGGTAGATCACACTTATAATCCTAGTTATTTAGGAGTCTGAGATCTCAGAATTGCAGTTTGAAGCCAGCTCAGGCAGAAAGGTCATGAGACTCTTATAACTGATTAACCAGCAAAGGAAAAAGAACTGGAAGTGATGCAGTGGCTCACGTGGTAAGGTACTAGCCTTGAGGATAAAACCTCAGAGACAGTACCCAAGCCCTGAGTTCAGCCTCAGGACCAGCACAGGGGGAAAAAATACAGTGCTGTGTTTACTTTTTTATCACCCTGAAGCTAGAATAAATCTTGTGATGTGGAGAATGATATGTGGAAATTAGTATGCTAGCAGGTTTTAGCAGGATCTAGTGCACAGTGAGACCACTAACAGTGATGGTAATATGATCCTACTTGGAGTCTAGCCACTGGGGCCTGAAGAAGAAGATGAAGATCTGGAAGTATTTCCTTCTACCTGTTTTACGAGTAACATTGCTAAAAGACCTGAAGTGTACAGAAGAGAATTGGTAGGCTGGGACACTACAGATGACTTTCACTGAGACACAGAAAATATAAGATGTGGAGTAGAAATGGATGAGGGAAAAAGTGATGGACTGACTATATTTGGAAATTCTGGACCAGAGACACCCCTAGGTGTCTTCCCAGAGAGAAGGCCAGTGTGCTAGGAAAAGTACTAAAGTACAATGACATTAAGGGATTTACAAAGTATAGAACTGTAGAAGAGCTGTGACTAGAAGTAAATGTGTCTAAACTCTCTGAGAGATTAATAGTCTAATATACCAACTACTACTAGGTATAGTATATACCATACTACTAAATATATACTGGTATATACTAATATGTAATATGCTACTAAGTATAATATACTAAGCACTACTCTATTAGGGAATGAGTTAACTCAAGGGAAACATCACTAAGAAACATAAGCCTGTAAATAAAATTTGGTAGAATGTTATGTTTGGAAGATGAGGAATGAGAACAGAAGAACATTTATGATAGAAAAGGAAATACTTGCAAGAAATCAGAGACTAAAAATCAGAAATAATTTTCAAGTTTTTAGATACTCATAAGGCAGCAGAATCAAGCTGTGTGCATTCTAGTAGTGGGGCTTGAACTCAGGGCCCCACACTTTTTGACTTTTTCACTCAAGGCTGGAGCTCTATTAGGTTAAGCTACTTTCCCACTTCTGGCTTATGTTTTGTTGCTGTTTTTCATTGGAAATAAGAATCTCATGGAATAAGGCACTATGCTCAAAAATGATCTTTACCATGTCAGCGGGGATGAGTTAGGGAGGTGGGGAAGGAAAGGATAGTAGGGAAAAAAACAAAGGAGGGAGTAACAATGTTCAACAAGAAATGTACTCATTACCTTACTCATGTAACTGTAACCCCTATGTACAACATCTTTACAATAAAATAAAATAATCCCATGGATTTGTCTGCCTGGGCTGGCTTCGAATCACAATCCTCAAATCTCAATTTCCTGAGTAGCTGGAATTACAGAAGTATGCCACTGGTACCTGGCAGAATAAAGTATTTTACAGGATTTAAAAAAAAAAAACTTAAATAGAAGGGGAGAGTGATCTTCAGAGGATGGAAGCTAACCTCGCAGACCAGGATTCTTACATAGAACCAAAGAAGAACTCTAGTTCCGAGATTGGCCCTATAACCAGAGAAACCCAAACACAAAACTGTGCCTTTAAGAGGCCGTAAGGAAAGCACGGCCTTGGGGGGTGATCAACAGCTAGGATTC